AATTTCAAAATTGAAGTTATCATATGACAAATATTCAGTGGACAAAGTTTGAACAAAAATCTATTGTCACTTTTATTTCAGAGGAATTACCTTAAGGGCCCTAGTCAGCCACACGTTTGTTTTTGTTTGCAAGTAAGAGTTGTGCTACTAGATTTTATTTGGAACATGTCGAAACGAAGGAAATCACTGAAACTACTAAAGATAATTAAAGATACTTTCAGGAACACAACTTACAGTAAAGCAATAAGATTTTGCTTAAACATGCAGTATCAATAATTTTGATGGCAGCTAAAATGGTGGAGGCTGACTGTGGTCATTTAAGAAACAAGAAACTGGAGATAGGTGCTTGTGTGATGGGCCATTCAAGAAGGCACCCCTTCTGTGAATCTTAAACAGGGTTGCCACGGGTCAGGAAATGGTCAGGGAAAAAAATTCTTCAAGGTCAGGGAAATTAAGTCAGGGAATTTTATTTTGAGTCAGGGAAAATTGACATTTTGAGGAAAAGTAAGGGAAATTTGGAATCATTTAACATGGCTGATTTAATACCTTTGAGGGCTGGAAGAAATGTTTGGGATCACTGTGACCTCCACGATGTTTTATAAATTATAGAATTTTAATATAATTTTAGCAGTTGGTGACAAGTTTAATCAATAAAATGAACTCAACTGTGAAAATCAGTGGGTATTTTTCAGAATTGTGGGGTTTGTGGGCAAGCGTTCCCTCACTCTCCCCATCACTCCATGCTTTGTTGATTTTTTTGTTCTTACTCCAATTTGTGCATCACTGGAATGTGGACAAAGCTCTTTGTCAGGGAATGCTTGGTATGCAGTTTATAACAAGGAAGGAAAATTTGTTGAAAACTTGTCAGTGTCAATGAATGGGTGGGAAGGATGACTGTAAGGGGAGGTTAGAAGCCGCTTAGTAACTATCTCTGACATTCTGTATTTAGTTCATCTGGAAAATTGTATTTTGCTTTTATGTAAAGTCAGAATTTTGAAAAACTGATATCTGTGGCAACCATATTGTAAGTAATTACTAGCATGAATAGGAGGCCATAGGAGGTCAAGTGTCCTGTATTATGCCCCCCTCCCCCCAGTTACTGTTGATATTTGTGGGTGCCACAATATTATTAATTTATTTTCTCTTTAAAGGTAGTATACAAAGCTCACCAATACCAGGGAAATTTTCCTTCGAAGTTTCACTCAAGTTGGAAGTAGTTGTTGTGCGCTTTGGTGAAGATGTGGCCATCAACTGCAAAACCAATGATGCCAGTGCAAATGTCACATTTAAAGTAATTCATAACGACTACCCAAGCAATAATCCACAGAAGCCAGGGAAAATAACCCTAAGCGGCACAACAGTTACTATTCATGATATTACATTAAGGGATGGAGGAAAGTACCAGTGCGTTGCCGAAAGAAAGGATGGACAGAAAATTACCAGAGATATTTTGCTGACTTTTGATATCAGTGAGCATTTCATTTATTAAATAATTTATTTAACTAATAATACAGTGTATACGTGCAAATATGTTAGCATGCTGATTGGTAAGAGCACATCAATTAATCCCAAACAGTGCAGAGAGTGGAAATTGAGTGAAATGTGTGGAATTAGATTGCTTTGTTTATTATTAACAAGTAATCACATGAATTTTTTCTGGAGTAAATAAGCACTTAAAAATTTTTCAAAGACTTCAAAATGAATGCACACCAGGCTTACAAATTAATGAAATTTGTTTGAAATAGTTTTTGAAAAATTTTACTTGTGCTTATGATTTGTTCCAATTTGCAAGAAATCATTTGATTGGTGACATTACATGGTGTTTACAAAAAGCAATAGTTTTTTTTGCCACCGGCAGATTGTAATTAAGCTGTGAGATGGTGTACAGAGTTATTGCTAGACTGCATGTAAGTAGTCCTCATTCGCTTTCCTACTATTAGCGAGAAAACACAAAGAACGAAGTAAAACAATTCCCATAACCCTTTCATTTGCAGCTGCTACAGTTTATGCTAAATATAAGATGAGTGCTGCCTTAATCTCTCTTGCATAATAATTAATTGCCACCAAACTCTGTCGTGAAATATATTCTACATATTATTTAAAAACACATTTTATAGAACTTTACTTAATATGGCCTCTTTCTATACAATTTTTTGTCAGGAAAACCTGAAATTAGTATCATCCCATTTGAAGCAAGGAGAATATTGACTGGATCTAATCTGACTTATACCTGTGAGGGCACGCTGGGCACATTGACTTGGTTCAAAGAAAACAGCGGATCCTCCATCAAACTTCCATCACCTAGTTTACTCGGTGTGAGTATCACATCATCGTTTCACAAATATGGAAGAATGAGGAAAGAGGTGACGATCTCAAATGCTGATTCTTCACACATTGGCATGTACGAGTGCAGACTAAATTATAAAGGAAAAACTATGCAAAAAAGTGTCGAAGTAGATGTCAGAGGTAAATTGATGATGCTTTTGACATTTTACAAATTTTAGTGTTTTGTGGTGTTTAGTACTGTGTATTGTGCATGTAATTACTGTATTATTGTTGTTATTGTTACATTATTATTTATTAACAACTACGAGACACTATTAATACATTTATAATACCGGTAGTGTGGGTCATTAAGCATTCAATGACTGGCCCAAAAGGAAATAAAGAATTTTGTTTCCTCTTGACCCTCAATGTTCCCTGAGGCAAAGGGAAGGGGAACATTGAGGGACGAGGGGCATCAAAACTCTCTGTTTCCCATGGGGCCAGTCATTTTAAAGTATTTTGTCAGACCTCCCAACTCAAAATCAGAACAAACTGTGCAAAAATTATTTGATTCAGGCTGGCACACAAATTTGCTGGGGTTTCAAGGAGCATGACCTGATTGCATTTGAGTCAAATGTTCAAGTTGTCGTTTCCCTAGGGAGTTAGTGAGTTTTCACCCATGACATGCGACATGTTCTCCTCCAATAAAAAAACGTATTTGAGTTGGAAGGTATAACAAAACTGTTTACGGCACATCAGGGCTTAAAAGGGTTCTATCACCGTATGTTGCTTGATGATAAAGCCATGGTATCTTTAAAAGCAAACGTGCTTTCCGTGCATTGATCGAAGTCTTCTCCAGATGGAAGATGACTTCCTTCAAGGGACGGAAAGCCCAGTTGGACGTGAACTCTCAAAAGCAAATGTCCAATAATTGGTGAGCTTGTAGAAATCATTCTCTTGACATTGCAGGTTACACATAGCACAAA